TGACCTGAACGGAGGGGTGGTCTAGTCTGGGCAGCACAGGCCAGATGTGTGTGAGGTTGATTCCCGGCAAAGATGGTGTTTGCCCTGCTCTGGGAAATCTTGATGGGAAGCGAAATCCTGTTCTCCCTGACCCCACAGATAAAGCATCTTTCATGAGAACAGTTATAAAAAGAAACTGAAAAATAAGGACAATCTGGACGTTCTCCTACTCAAGGGCCCACGCCTACTCTGCCTAGCTAGTTAGCTTCTCCCACAGTCCCCACCCCTGCCCTGGCCTTACTCCCCTCTCCTGATCGTCCTGAGACCTCCAAACTACCTGACAAGTATGCTATCACTGCTCATCAAAAAAGTTTCTTTTTGAAACATATAGAGGCTACTAGAGAGTTCTACAACTGGTCACACAGAGACTAAGAGTCCATGAAATGCCCAGCCCAGTTCACCGTAGAGGTTCTACAACGAACCTGTACACCTAAGGCTCATAGAGTGTAGTGGAACAGGGGGTGGAGAGAAGACTTGACTATCATCAATGAAGCGTCCTCATTCAACAGAGGTGATAAAACACAGAAGGCCACAACTAGCCCAAGCGTAGAGAATAAGAGACTGCACAGTGCGTGTCCCTGGACGAGATGCCTGTATTAAACCTCTACCACCCAGGCCTCAGAGACCATTATGGAAGAGGAGGCAGAAAGAATCAGGGGTGGTGGGTGACCGCAAGGACACAGTTTTCCAGGCTTCTGGGAACTTGCTCATATGAGTTTACATCAATAGTGACACTATGCACAAGACCCAATCAAACTTAAACCAAACAAAACCCAGCATAGAACTGGGGAAATGGGCAGGAGGCCCCATCCTTAGCTGAGGACCTATTGGCAGCTGATCACTGCTGGGTGAGGGAGAGTCGATCTTCTTTAAGGGAGTGGCACCAGACAGGCTGAACAGGCTTCAGTGGATGAACTCACACTGAGGGACAGCTCGATACATAGACTTGACTGAATGGGCCTTAACATTTATGACAAAATGCGTGCAATTTGGTGGGGGAGGGCTATGAGGGGTGCAGACAGAGGAGGAGGTCTAAATAGGATTAAGATATACTATATGAGATGTACAAAAATTCAATCAAAATATATTGAAAAAAAGAAAAGGGAAGTCTCATGAGAAATGACCCACCTCCATAATTTTTATCAGTTTCATTGCGGTCAAAAGCAGGTGTTTGAAGCTATGAATGAGTAGTTTGCGTTTTCAAAATTAACAAATTGAATCAACACTAAGGGGGGAAGACGAGCCCCGGCCATCACCAGGCAGCAGAGAACTGTTTACCAAAGCTGCAGTAGCTCAGGAGATGGTTTGCAAACAGCACCAGACTAGCTTGTGTGAGTTCCTTCGTTTAGTCATCGCTCTTCAGCCCGTCACAGACACTGAAGGAAAATGCAGAAACAGGAAATTACAGGCTATTTTAAACAGCATGTTTTATTAAACTCACTTGCTGATGTGCTTCAGAGCAGAATGTGAGAGTCAAGTGCTCATAACTTACATCCTTGCAAGTGCTTTTCCTAAGAGTTCTCCCAGCAAAAATGTGGCAAACACCCAGGGCTGGAAGCAGTCTCTAACCTAGCTACTGTTTCACCCCAGGTCATGAAGCTCTAACACATCAAACAGGTTCAGCAATGAAAAGAGTACACCTGCTTACAGGCTGTAACTCCAAGAAACAACAACTGGCATCTTGCAGCAACTTAAAAGTTCCTGAATGCATTTATTTTAGATCACAGAATCAAAACACAGCAGGGGGGCTGGGAGATGATGGCTCAGTGAGTGGATGTCTCACTGTGCAAGCAGGAGGATCTAGGTTGAGACCTCCCAGCATCCATGTAAAAAGTCATGCGTGATGGTATGTGCCTGCAATGCCAGTGCTGAGAGGTGGAGACGGGAAGGTCCTTGGGATTCGTGGGCAGCCAGTCTAGATGAAATGGCAGTCTCCAGGTTCAATGAGAGAGCCCCATCTCAAAAATTAAGAGGGGCTGGGGCGATGGCCCAACCGGTAAAGTGCCCCTTGTACAATCATGGGGTCCTGAGTTTGCTCTCCAGCACCCATGGAAAAGTGGCTGTGACAACACAGGACTGCAATCCCAGCACCGGAAGGTGGAGGCAGGAGGATCCCTGGGGCTCAGTGGCCCTTCAGTCCAGCCACATCAGTGAGCTTCAAGACGAGTGAGAGACCCTGCCTCAAAAAATAAGGCAGAGAGCAATTGAGAAAGACGCCTTATGTCAGCCTCTGACTTCCACGCGTAAATGTTCACCTGCACACGCATGCACACACACGCCGAGCAATCTTAAAATTATTAAAAACTGTATTTTCTTTACCTAAATACTGATTTCATTTGTCTCATCACTGGATTGTTCTGTGAGAAGTTGGAGCCATCGTATCAAGGCCATCCTGAATCCTTGGCTTTGAAGAGGCTGAGTGAGACTGGCAGGTTTGTGATAGTCTTTAAATATTTCTATTCATTACCTTTACTGTTTATGTATGAGTGTATTGCCTGCATGTGTATAAGTGTACCCGTGTTGTGAAATGCCCACAGAGGCCAGAAGAGGGTATCTGATCCCCTGGAACTAGAGTTACAGATGGTTGTTTGCCACCATGTGGGTGCTGGGAATCAAACCAGGGTCTTCCGCAAGAGCAGTCAGTGCTTTTAACTGCTAAGCCATTGCTCTAGCCCAGGATGTGATAGTATTAACTACAAGAGACTTCAAATTCAAGGGCCTGTCGTAAATATGGATGGGAACATTCTCCGTTTCCTACGGTTGCACAAAGGATAAAGAGACTTAGCTGCAGCATGTAAGAGGCCCACCGCCTGGTCTAACCGCAACACCTGCCTCTCCTGGAGCCCATGTCTTTTACAAGCTCTGTTCTCCTGAGTCACAGAAAGGAAGCAATCCAGTGAAACTGTGATTCCCGTTCTGACCACAGGGATGTGGCCTCCTCTGTGGAGTTAACAAGCTCTGAAAACAAATACTTTCATTCACACGCTGAACATTTGTTTAGTGAAGCAGCTGTAGAATGTTCTAAGCTTCTACTGCCTTGAAAGATCTTATCACAGATACTTTGCCCTAATTATTGACTATCGAATGGTGACTTCTGCCCATTTTAAGCCATTCCATCATGCTCCATGTCCCCTGTCCCTGCATCCTCTCCTAAGGGCCTTTTCAAAGTACAGAAGAACAGGATTTTAAGAGCTGGGCAGAGAATGTCTTTGCCAAACCATCTTCTACAACCACCCACCATTTGAAAGGTAGACACAGGTGAATGACTGGGTTAAGAACATGCAGCCGGGGGCCACAGAGAGGAGCAATGGAAGGCACTCTTGGGAAGCAGGACCACGTTTTTTTAATACAGGGGTCTCAGGTCTCCTAGTCTGGCTTCACTCTTGCTGCATAGCTGGGGTTGACCTTGAACTTCTGATTCTCCTGTCTCCACTTCTCATACAGGGGCTACAGATGTGTGGACCATGATGTTTATGTGGTGCTGGGCACTGAACTTGAACTTGGAGCTCTGTGCATGATATGAGAGTGTTTTACCAGCCGAGCGAGCTCACTGATTAGCCTAGGCTGCCCAGCCAGCAAGCTCCAGGGTTCCACCTGTCTCTGCCGCCCCAGTTCTGGCTTTACAAGTGTGTGCCACAACATCTGGCTTCTTCACATGGGTCTGGGGATCAAACTTACTGACCAAGCCATCCTTTGCCCATCTCCTAGGGGCCACTTTAAGTGAGGATGCTCAAACTCTGGATCCTGCCACATTAGGCTTCCCCTGGCCTTGAGAAAAGCTGGTACTTCCAAGTGGGTAGACAGCAGAGTGAGGTGGATAGTGTCTCAGCATCTCCAAGACTTGTTACACAGAACTAAGGGGTAACTCCCTGTGGGGGAATGCCTTGGCCACTGGGCAGCTCTAGCGAGAGTCACATCAATAGATGGGACAGTGCTGAGTGCCAGGACTCGGCACAGATTGACATGCACCCACACTGATGACAGGCAAATTTCTGTGATGTGGATGGCTGTTTAGGGCTTGCTGTTGTTTTTTGGTGAAAAAAGAATTTCTTTTAGTATTCTAGAAATGTCCTAGAAACAAGACCCCGACAACTAACAGTAACAGGTTTTCATACTACGAAGGAGCTCTTCTAACCAGGGTCCACTGAGAGGTATGGTACTCAAGTCCGCACTGTGAAAAACCACGCCAATGGATGTTCTCAACACCTGAGGTCCCAACACTTTGGGAGGCAGAGACAGGACGAGGAGCTTGAGGACTGCCTGGGCCAACAGCAACACCCTGTGGGCCAACAGCCAGAAACCCCCACACAACAGATGAAGACACCAAGAAACGTCTGGAAATGATGTGCTCAAGAAGCAAAAGGCAGGAACTTTCACATTTCAACCTCTGCATGGTATCACATTCATAATAAGGCTGGTACGTTTGACAAATTAATTTGCCTTCACCTAGCTCTCCTCCTTTATCAAATAAAACATTAGCTTCTAAGAAACACAAATTCGAGGTTGCACGGAACACTGCTGGGATGCTGTAGCTGTAGCTGCTAGAACCACTTAGAGATGAGTTTTCTTCATCATTTGACATACATTTCACAACACAGCCACCTATGGACCGGCACTGATGGCTTCACTACGCGCTAAATTTACGGGTTTTTTTTTTGTGGGGGGCGGGGCACAGGGTCTGCCTGTATCTCTGTAGCTCCAGCTGACCTGGAACTTGCTTTGTAGACCAGACTGTCCTCAATCTCACAGAGACCTGCCTGCCTCCGCTTCCTGCATGCTGGGATTAAAAGTGTGCACCACCACACCTGGCTAAGTTTACTTTTAATGAGTTCTTTTATTTTGAAAACACCCGTGTGGCCACCATCCCCTAGTTCTAGATGTTTTGAAGGTTTTTTTTTTTTTTTTAAATAGAATCATGGGAAAGAGAAACAGCCATTAAAGTAAAATCTTAAATGACTTAATGATTTTTGATCATTTTAATAAATATATATCAAGAAAACCCCACTTTATTACAACACATTCGTGTACAAGCATCTATCATCTAAATTTTCAACATCAAATATTGAAAATAAAGGACAAAACATTACTAGACTATGCAGCCATAACACAGGAACATGTTTTAAAAACTGGTCCTTGCGGACAATCGCCCAGACGATCCCTACTCATACACTGTATGAATGAGATCTATATTTAATATTAATAGCAATAAAAAAGCCTCATCTTGGAGAGAGTGGGAGAACTCACTTATTGCCTCCATTTGGCCTTAGGTTCCTTTGAAGAATTGTTTAAAAAGACCCAGGTCAACCAGATCAGTCCTCAGCCTTGACAATGAAAATACAATTCAGGTAGAAGAGCTGGCTGGATTGGTCCAGAGCGCCGCCATGAACACGCTCGCAAATGGACAAATTCAAGGTTCTGTTGAACACTGAACACTGGCCATAAATGCATGGTGACGAAGCAAGTCCCATTTCTCCAAAATAACGTTCTGCAACCTAAAATCTTTACACTCTTTAAGATAAACGGTATTGACCACCACGTCATTATTAACATTGTGCTTCTTAATCAACAGCAAAAGTCATATATAAAAAAACCACATGCTTTTATAATCTAAACGAGTGAAATGATGCAAAACAGATTAAAGTAGAGAGCATGCCACAGGCTAGGGAACTTCACTGGACACAAAAACAAAACAACCCAAAGCCCAAAAAGCCCAGACCCAGCAACAGAGCGTTGCCATGGAAAAGCTTGGGCTGCTCGAGCTGGTCCCTAACAGCCTTCCTTCCCTATTGTCTCCTCCAACCCTATCCAAAAATGTCAGACCCACAGCCACTGGGCGTCACAAAACAAAGGAAGGAGATGTTGAATCAAAAGTTGAACACAACAGTTCAAAGATAAGTTTCCAAACCACATGGATCCACCCTGTGTGTTTTTTTCCTGTTCATTAAATCCCTGCTGTAACTGATTTATCCTTAATTTTCACATTGGCAAAAACTAAGATAAAGTAAGGCACCGAAAATCGCCCTGTATACCACCTCCCTAGTCACCTCATCACCCATCATAGGCAAGCCAGGAACTCGCAGGGAAGTCTCCAGACTGTAGACTGCTGTCCTTCTAGGTATGTTTCATCACGCCACATCCTGCTCCACAGAAATGCGTCACAGCACCATGCAGTCATCTTACCCAGCTTCCCATCTTCAGCCTTTTATTCGGAAAACAAAACAATACTGCACCACACGGAAGCAGCACACACCTCTGCTGGCTGTATTGATCCATTTACCAGTAACTACCTAATTGGCAAACGTGTTGAATTTCCTCGGCTGGCGGCAGGCTCCTCTGAGGGGTGACAGCATCTCCCAAGGTCACACGCCCCCGTCTAATCTACCAACGTTTTCTTTTTCTTTTTTTTTGTAAGAAAACTAAGGTATACTTTTAAGCATGAAGTCGACTTTTCTTGGCAAAATCACATTTATAAGTAGCTTGCTGATGCTTACTGTACAGATGTTTGTGCAATCTGCTCTCCAGGCATTGAAACCACACGGCATGTTCACCGCATAATTTTATCAGTTGTACAAAACTACAAAATCCATTCAAAATAAAATTTAGGAGCGCTAATTGACCGTGCCGTGCGCTTCGTGCCGAGGACGGTCACACTTTGCTTGCCCTACTGCAGCACAGCTTGGTCCCTGGGGAGGGCTTTTTCCTCACCGACTTTTTCCAGGACTGACTCTCACGGTTTTTCTCATTATAGCCAGTCTCAAAATAATCATAAAACTGGCCTTTGCACTCAAAATCAAGGTCGTTTTCCACAGGCTCATGGCCGAGGGGGTCACCATCTCTGCTGGCCTCGTGACTTCCTTGCCCTTCGTTGAACTTGGCCTTTTCCTGGACACCAAATGACTTTACGTTAGTGACAAAGATTTCATTGGCAGGTATCTGGCCATCGCTCTTGTAAACGGGTGGACCGCCTAAGTCAAAGTCCATGTGATGGGAACAACTGGGTAACGGACGAGGGGAAGGAGAGGAAGAGGAGGGAGAGGAAGGAGAGGAGGAGGGGGAGGAGGAAGAGGAAGGAGAGGAGGAGGGGGAGGAGGAAGAGGAGGAGAAAGGGGAGGGGGAGGGGGAGGAGGCCGCGGCGGCCACTGAGGCACTTCCAACACCAGTGTTGAGAGAGAGGGGCAGATTCAGGTAGTGCCCACCACATTCCTGGTAAAAGCAGCAGGCGTGGAACCTGTCGCACTCCTCTCTGGCCACCCTCGGTCGTTTCCGGTAAGGACAGTCTTGAGCCATGAACCACTCTTGGGCAGATGTGCCACTGAGGGAGCAGGTGGGGAGGCACCAGCTGTTCTGCAGGACAATCTCCCCGTGGATCCTCTTCATCAGGTTGTTGATGAGGACGGATCTCCGAAGGTACACTTCCGGGTCATCAATGAATTTGAGCTTTTCCAAGGACATGTAAAGTATGTGGGCTCTCTCCTCAAAAACGGAGATGGTCTAAAATCAAAACAAGAGAAAGCTTAAGAAATGGACTCTGTGTAGACATCGTCACCCCTATTTCGTTCTTGGTAGAGTCTGGGAATGGTGCTCTCTGTTTCCCCATGGGGTTGTTCAGGCAGCTGGTCCTAGTGCTGCAGGTGTCCCCAGGCCCACCTGTTTCCCAACTCACTGGCTTGGCCAAACACGATCCAGCCACAGGGTGGACCTCAGCAGGACCAGTAGGTTTAATCCTTAATGTCACAGTGCCGGAGAAGCTGAGGCTCAGCTAACCTCAGCTAAGCTGTCAGGGGTCAGGCCAGCAGTTACCGTGAGGGGGTGGGACAGGCCTGACGCTGCGTGGAGGATTGAGGTCCCTGGCTACACTTTGGTTCCTGAGCTGGTCGTCAGTGAACGGGCATGCTCTGGGTGAAGTGTGTCCAGCTACACTTGTGTTTGCAATGTGTGTGCGGTACAGTGGTAAACGTCTTTTAAATATGCAAGATGCAGGCTCTACTGGGCACGCCTCGGTCTGGACTGGCCATCAAGAGCACCACATCTGGCTTTTGGCACTGCCCTTTCATGCCTGCAAGCGGCCTTGCTTGGTAAGAGGGAAGGAGCAACCAGTGAGGCGCAGATCTAAGCAGGACCTGGTAGCTTAAGGACCCGGGCCAGCTGGGGGCTGGCAGGAAGGACAGATGCAGAAAGAAACAGGGTGCAGTCGTGGGTTGTGTGAGGTTGTTGCTGGGTGATGGCTGTTGCAAAACCCCTGGCAATTGTTATTATTACAATTATTATTTCTGGATTGAAAGATTTTTTTTGAGACAAGGTCTTGCTACATAGCCAAGGCTAGCCTGGAACTCACTATGCAGCCCAAGTTGGCTTTGAATTTGCAGTAACCCTGCTCTACATCTCAGTCCCTGGGATTACAGGTATGTGTCACCATGTCTGGCTTTTCCCAGTAGCAATTGGAAAGGTGCTAGAACCACAACACAGAAACTGAAGAAACGAACTGCTTGTGACCTGGAGGCCAAGCTTCTAGGTCAGGAAGAAAAGCAAGCCATGGGCCGAAGAGATGGTTCAGTGGCTAAGAGCACTGGCTGCTCTTGCAGAGGACCCAGGTTCAATTCCCAACACCCACATGGTAGCTAACAACTGTCCATAAGTCCAGTTCCAGGGGATCCAACATCTTCTTTCTGACTTGCACAGGTACTGCATGACACGGGTATACTTATATACATGCAGGCAATACACTCGTATACATAAAATAAAAATAACAAACAAAAGTATTTAAAGAGAAAGGAGAAGAAAAGCCCTGTGAGGGACTGTGGATTAAGGAAGCTAACCAGAGGCCAGGTCAGGACCACACCGCAGGCAGGAAGACAGCGCCTGCCAACACACACTGGCATCTTTTACGACAGCAGCAGAAACTGAACTGAGATGCTGTGCATCTGGACTCTAGGCTCTAGCTGTCCCTCTCTGGTGAGACCAGTAGAGTTCTCAAAGGCAACCATACAGAAACAATAAAACCCCCAAATAACCAAAATTGATGTATTTCAAAGCTCATATGTGCAGTTCTCTAAAATATTTATTATTTACTTGTTTATTTGTATGAGTGTTTTGCCTGCACGTATGCAAGTGCACTTATGTGTGCAATTCCACAGCTATCAGAAGAGGGCACTGGATTTCCTGGAACTGGAATTATAAACTATTGTTAGCTGCTATGTGGGTGCTGGGAACTGAACTCAGATCCTCTGCTAGGGCAGCCAGTGTTCTTAACCACTGAGCTGTGGCTCCAGCCCCTAGTGCTCTAACCACTGAGCATCTCCCTAGCTCCAGGTGCCCAGTTCTTAATCTCATGCACTCTTCCATTGTTTTTTTCTTACTACGTGTGCAAAAATAAATAATAAATAATAAATAAATAAATAATCTGGCTTTGGTCCTTTCTTGGGAATTAATTTTATATTTCAACAAATTTGACATGTATCAGGATTCATCAAGAAATGAATGTCTGTACCCCACACATCCTAGGGACAGGGAACAGATTCCCAGGAAGTCAGAAGCACCCTGGGCAGTCCTCCAACTCTGCACACACAGAAGTAGTCCTGGTCGTGTGGGAAGATCTCAGTCTAGGGATTGTCAAGAAAGACGAGAGCCTTTCCCAACACATGACATTGCAAGGCAGCCCTAACTTTCAATGCAACTTGGGAATATTAAATCACAGGCAAAAGAGATGTGTGTTCAGTTGCATAATTTTGTTTTTTTTTTTTTCCTGTGGAGAGACTCTCCTGTCTCTCTCTTCAAGTACTTGTGAAAAGATAACACAGGACCCCCCCCCCCCAAAGTGACAGGGATTAATGTGGACCACAGAGAAGGGGTTCATTTCTACTGCTTGGGTGGAATAACGATTTCAGGAAATGGTTCAAGCAAGTGTTGCGAAGTATCTTAAGCTCTTAGTAAAAACACTGACTATGAGGAAACCTACTTTCTGGCCGCAGCTGCTGGGAGGGGGGTGAAGGGCCTCTTCATGCTTCCTCTTGAAGTACGCAGTCTTGGATGTGGTTGTAGGATTTGGAATTCCCCTGTAATGTGATCCTGTGGTAATAAATCAGATACGACAGATGACATGCAGCCTGCCAGAAGTTCTCCAAGCAAAACACTTCCTTTTCGTCTAGTGGACAACTTGGTCATATCCCTGTCTCTACATGCGACGATTAAAAATGCACATGAGTCTTAATAGTTGCTAGCCCACGAGTCACATGGACCTGTGTAGGCAAGGATTTCTAGGCAACAGCAGAGGAACACAACACCTTTCAGCGTTTAAATACTTAGAATCTTAAACTCCAAGCACAGGCAAACAGCAAAATTCAGAGGACTGTAACAGCTCTTCAAATCGTTTCATTAAATTCAGACAGCTCCTGCCAGCTCACAGGTACCCATGTAGAACTATGGATACCAAGCACTTTCAGAATGCATACCCACACATGGCAGTTAAGACCATTCCCTCTTTTAAAATGCAAATTTATGGGCCAGGTGTGGCAGCACATGCCTTCAACCCCAGCAATCAGGAGGCAGAGGCAAGAGAATCTCTGTGAGTTCAAGGCCAGCCTGGTCTACATGGTGAGTTCTAAGCCAGCTGGAGCTAGAGAGTCTCAGTCTCAAACAATCAAACAAAAACCAAGTAAAATACAAATTTAAATATTTAAAGGTTAAAATTTAAACTTGGGGTAGTAAGATCTGTTTTGCTCTGGAAAATGTAACACATGAATACAGTCTGAAGAGGGAAACTTTAAAACTTTTTCAGCAAAAGACTTCCCTGAATTTTGTTTTGTATTTTATTTTTTAAAAAGAACTAGTATTGCACAAAACTCAAAGGAACTTATTTGAGACTCTAAGAATTAAAAGCCAGGAAGACCATTTTTGTTGGCTTAACGTTTTCTTTGCCAAAGTCAACTATGTGCTCCATGAACAGCAGAGGGGTGGATACTACGTGGTGACGTGTAGAGTCCTTTATACCCTGTGAGACAGAGAGCTCACTGTCCAGCCCATGGGGGCTTCTACAGCTCTGAGAACCACATAGTTCCACAGGACAGAAAAACCAAAATCTAATCGTGCAGTATTTGGTTCTTTTAAAAACACAGTGACTTATCCCCAAGCAGGTAGACACAGGCTTCATGCCATTTAAATCCACCTCCTTCCTTTCCCAGGAGCCGAGCCCAAGTCAGACTAGACGCCACCTTCTGTCTATCTAAGGGGAGGTCAAAGGCACTACCTGCCAGTGGGGGACCAGCTCCCTGGTCTCCCTGCAAAGGAACTTGCGCTGGCCCTGGGGGGCTTGGACCTCTGTAGCTGTCAGCCTCCCATAGCGTTTGGTAACCGGCAATTTCAGCAGCTCCTTCAGAGACAATGGGTTCACAGAATCTATTCATGGACAGGACCAGAGTCATCTCTGACAGCCTCAGATCTGGAAAAAAAAAAAAAAAAAAAAAAGAAAAGTAGGGGTGGGTTGGGGTCGGGAAGCAAACAGCCTGCTTAGGAGGTGGTGGCGGGGATGGCCCCAGTCAGCATCTTCATCGTAGGCTCAGGGATCTTTTACTTCCTGGCCCCTTCACCTCAAACCATCTGATTGTTCTTCTAGAGAAAGCTCAGCAACCTCTTGCTGCTATGAGCTCAGCCTCTGCTGGCAGTCTGCATTTCCGGGCGGATCTTTAAACTCCTTCCTCATTGTTCTGAGTCCCCCAGCCCTCTTCCAGCAGCTGCTCTGCCTTCTGAACACATTTTCCTTATGACCTTCCCACAGAAAACCGACCACTAAGAGGCAGCGCCAGAAGCCCGGTGTTTCCTTCTATTAATAAGGTGAAATCAATTTTCTAGTCAATCCTCTGGGAATCCCCCTTTGATGAAATCTGCTAATCAATCAACGTGGGGGGGGGGTCCTCCACCATCCTCCCAACACATGGTGGGACTGAGTCTCTCCTGGTCTCCTGTGCCGCCGGCCTCCTCTCCTCTGCGGGCCATTCCCTCTCCCCTGATCTGGGGTTTCCTGTACTCTCCTCCCAGGGAAAAGCAGACAGACACTCGGTAGTTGTTTCCACAGCCCTGATCGGCCTGAACTGGATCTGCCTCCAGTCAAAACACTGTGAGATGAAGACAGAAAATTGGCTCCAGTTTCCAGCCGTGAGTTGCAGTCCCACAGGAGCCAAACACAACATCAGCCGAGCAGCAGAATATTAAACAGGAGCCAGGGCTCCGGGCAGAGGCAGCCAGCAACTCTTTAAACTGCAAAGCCAGATGCAAAAACGGGAACTCTCCAGGAGTCAACACATCATTGCCCCTCCGCTCCAGTTCCCCCTACCGGAGATGTGCTGTGATGCCCCTAGGTGTCTCTGTAAGTTAGGCTGCGGGACCGCTTCCACTGGGCCCAGTGTTGGCACTTAATCTTCTGTGGGGTTCTTTGACCCTCAAGATAAGGCCAAGTGTACCTTTCAGGGGGAAGAGAGTCTGGATTCCAGCAGTAATACCCATGGGGACTCTGCGAGTGCTGGCAACGTACACTTGGCATCCTGACTCTAGTTCCTTTAGGAGACCCAGACCTCGCAAGCTCACTTTGTGGTTTAAGAACCTGCTACTGGAGTGACATCAGGCTTGCTGAAGATGAATCTTCTCTCCAACATGCCAAGGGTCTAAATGCTTTCACATCCCAGCAACACAGCATACAGTGTTATAGTCAAGGGCAAATGTGTCACTGTGTTTGGGAGACTATTCCCCACAAATTGACACCAGTCCACTTCTAGGGGAAAGCGGAGATCCCACCTTTGACAAAGTGGCAAAATCCTCTGGCTACCAGAGCAGCTCTGGGCAGGAGAATGCCTTTCATTATGTATCCGTGTCCTCAAATTCAGCTCTGGCCCCAGTGAAGACCGGATGGGGTCTCCTCAGTGGGCAGAACTGAGCCCTAGTAACTGGGCTGCTATGTGTACATTGCCATTTCTTTTTTCAAAGAGACACCAGAAAGGGGAGAGAGGGAGAGGGAGAGGGAGAGGGGGAGAGAGAGAGAAGAGAGAAGAGAGGGCAGAGAAGGGGGGAAGGAGGTTCAAAAAATTCTCTATCAAGACACACTGGGATGCCCCTTATGGGGGTGCACCTTTATTTAATCCCAATACTCAGGAGGCAGAGGCAGGTGATCTCTTGCATTGGAGGTCAGCCTGGTCTACATAGCGAATTCCAGGCCAGAGCTACATAGCGAGATCCTGTCTTTTTTTATAAAAGAGCCTGGGAGAGGCCACTCGTTTTCCTTTCAGTCATCAACCAAGAAACTCTGTCTCGTTGAGTGAACAATCTTAGCCTTCCACCTCCTTCCCACTCTAACCCTGTAGCCAAGCAAAGAATCAAAGCTCACAGCACCTTCTTCCCTGGAAGACTCATGATGTCATCCGATTTCTTAACCTGGTCTAAAAGACATACCTAGAAAGGCCACAGCTGGCAACAGACCATCTCTGACTGACAACAGCTGTATTTTCCAGTTTGAAATTTACACTCACTTTTGTGGTGGATTCTGGGAAGAGGATCCAAGCCTTTGCCTGGTGGAACTTTTATTACATCTAAACAAAAGCAGGTTGACAAACCCATGCCCCTGAAGAAAGCAAAGGACTGCCAGACTCCTGGCAGCAATTACCTTTGCTTAATAGGACATTAATGGGCCCTGCGCTGCCTCACGTTAGTCAGAGTTTGTTTATATTCTAACGACTTGCGGGAGCAGCTTCTCTGGCTGTCTCGGATCTCAAGGCGTCTATGTGCTAGTATTGTTCCCAACATATGAAATCCCACCATTGTGCATGTGAACTTGAAATGTGGCTTAATAGTTTTTAGCTTGGCTGTTTCTTTTGTTTACAACATCTAATTTCAGTAAGTTTTTCTTTTTCAAATTGGAAATGGTTACACACAAGACCCTAAACAGGAGAGGCTGGGCTTGCAAGTGATTTATGTAAGCCAGAATAAAACATGAATGAGCTGGGACTATTTGGGAGGGGGAGGAGATTCTGCAATTGAGCGTTCCTGGTCTATTTAGAACTTACACTGATGTTAACCAATTAGGGAGGCAAGCTTAATGTTCAGGAGACACTGGGCTGTGCAGCACTGCGCACTCATCCTTGGCATGGATCTCTACAATCTTGCTATGGAACTTGGAAGTCCAAGTTCTTAAGTTTATGTGCTGTTAATACGAAATACAGCCACAATGATACATGGATGGCATTTTTTTTTCAGACAAGAAATTAGTGGATTTGAAAGAAGGTAAGGTTAACACGTGTTCTGTCTACGGGTTCTATATATATTATATATATGTGTATATATATATTATATATACACACACCCTAAGCTGTAGTCCTCAGGATCTGGTGTAACGGGTACCAGAGTGATTCGGTGGGATGACCCCGTGATCACCTCCACAAGGCGGAAGGCTGTCAGTCTATCTAGTGTATGTAGTAAAGTCACAGGCATGTCTATACCATTGGCCGGGCTTGCTCTTTCCTTGTAGCCATTAGGATGTCAAAAGGAGTGGCCACTATGGGTTCGGAGGTGCCAGGAAACTAAAGGGGGCTACCGGGCATAAAACAGTGTGATACAGGCATCACCATGGTCCTCCCGCCAATGGAAACTGGAGAGCACTGTTTATTAATGAGCATCACAGCAGCTGGAAGAGGCCAGCCCTGGACAGCAGGAAGGGGATCACTGTGATCCAGGGCAGCCCAGGCGAACTGCGGTGCTCTGTCCCGGGCAGCCAAGTCCCCTGGTCTCCACATGGTCCCAGTCAGGTTCTCAACATGTTTGTCCCGGCTAGCCCTGGCAGGACTGGATGGGTTGAAACAAAAACGCGTCAACACTCCTAAAGGCAGGTGCCGCTTTTCTGCAGCCCCTGCGGTGCTCCGGGAAGTTCACTGGCCAGTGGTGGTTCCGGGAGGCCACGACCCAAAGTTGGACGCTGGGTCTGGGAGTGCCTAGGGCCTAAGGGGTTTCCCAACAGGAGTCTGGGGTCGGCTCTCCCAGTCCAGGCCAAAGGTGGGGTGCTGGGGTCTGACGGGTCCCCTTGCCCAGGTTCTTGCACAGACCTAGAGACTGGTGCCATGGCCCATGAGCCCCTTTCCTGGACAGAGTGCAGCGTCAGGCCAGCCGCCCGCAGCAGGGAAAGCAAACAGCCCAAGTGTCTGGGAACAAAGGCAAGTTGTCTTCCAAGGTGCTGGAGCCAGTGCCTCTCCTGAGGAGCAGGGGCTACGGTTACTCTCTCTCTCTCTCTCGCTCCCCCTCTCCCTCTCCTTCTAAAACCCAAGTTTCCTTCTATGGGAAATGCACGCCGAAGGTAGGATTCCAATGACTCACGGCTGCTCGGCCGGGCCGCACTCCAGCCCGCAGCCGCCCTCACTCCGCCGCCCCGGCCGTGGGCGCTGCAGGGCCGGGGCTGGACCAGAACCTTCTGCCCCGCTGCTGCGGCCGCGGCCGCGGTCGGGCGCTCGGGAAAGTTGCGGGGCCGAGGCGGGCGGGGGCGGGGGCCGCGCACCCCGAGGGGGAGGTGAGCCGAGGACAGCGCGATCGCGGCGGGGAGCAGGGCGGGGGCGGAGTGCGGGGACACAAGGTGTCAGCGCCGGCAGCGACGCCTTGTTGAGCGGAGCGCGCGCCTGGCGTCCTCGGCCTCCTCCCCGGGGACCCTCCTCCCCACGCGCCCGGTCCCGGGGACCCTCCTCCCCACGCGGGCACGGCGGATGGGGGGCCCGGCCCCACGCGGGGGTTCGCTCCTGCGCGCCACGGCGGCTCCCGCACCGGGCAGGGCGCGCGGCCCGAAGCCCCGGAGAGCGC